TAGATCATTCCCGGGAACAATGTTCCTAGGAATACAAGTGGTTACCAAACAGAAGAATATGCCTCTGGGAATGCTATGCCATTCCAGGCCTATTCCGTGGACCAAACAGCTCATTAATGTTTAGTTTTACATTTATTTCTAAGTTTTAATTGCTTAGTTTGTGCTTAAAAACCGAGGGTGTTATAGGCATCTTTACTAAGTTATTCGGATAATCATATAGATATGGAGGTCTCTTTGTCCAATCAACCTTGCTAGAGACTTACATGTTTTTATGGTTACCCAGAAAGGTCGAGAAGGCAAATGTCTTGGAACCTTCTTCGACAGCTAAAGATACTTCTTTGCTACCTTGGGCAGTCCTCGTGGATTTTAATGATATATGCTGTCAATCCGAGAAGCGGGGACCACATCTCCAACCAGCAGCGCTAATTGATGGTTTTAATGATGCTTTAGATGACTGCCATTTAGTGGACCTGGGAATGTTGGCCACCGTTTTACTTGGGAGCGTGGTCGAGGAACATGTGCTTGGGTCGAAGAAAGATTAGACAGGGTGGTGGCAACCATGAATTGGACGGAGCTATATAATGACGCAATGGTCCAAAATATATTAACGGTATCTTCTTATCATTGCGCCATTTTCCTAGATTTGGATCCCAAGCCCGTTCGATTAGCTAAAAGAAGCTTTAAGTTTGAAGTTGCTTGGCTTCATGAGGAAGGATATCACATGGTAGTTGAACAATCTTGGCATCAATCTCTGGGTGAAGACTTCCAGAAACGTATTGAGCTTTGTGGACGTAACTTATGTCAGTGGGGTGGGGAGAATTACAGAAAATTTGGTCATCGTATTAAACAGTTTCGCAGCATGTTGACGTCCTTAAAGGAAAGTAGGCTTCCATCGGTGATACATGACTTCCATACCGCCGGGAAGGAGTTGGACATTCTATTACGTCAAGAAGAGATTTTCTGGAGGCAAAGATCAAAGCAATTATGACTGAAGCATGGCGACCTTAATACTAAATATTTCCATAAGTCTGCGACGGCTCGAAGACGTAACAATCTCTAACACATTTGATGACTCCAGACGGTGTGTAGGTGGAAGGCAACAATATGAATATGGAGGTCCTCAAGTACTTTAATGATATCTTCTAGTCCATGGGTACTGTCCCCAATCTTTTACCACACATTCAATCTCGAGTAACTGAGGAGATGAATGACCAGCTTTTGCAGCCTTTTACTATTGAAGAGATTAAAGCGGTTTTGTTTGCGATGGCGCCCGACAAGGCTCCAGGACCGGATGGTATGTCACCATCTTTTTACCATCACTTTTGGCATATTATTGGCCATAATCTATATATGTTTGTTTCAAGTTTCCTTAATAGTTGCAATTTTCCTAATGGGCTAAATGATACTAACATAGTTTTGATACCAAAGAAAAAGGTGCCAGAAAAAGTTTCATATTTAAGGCCAATTGCACTATGTAATGTGGCTTATAAGGTTTTGGCGAAAGCACTGGCCAACCGAATGAAAGGAATTTTGGATACAATTATTTCCCCCACGCAGAGTGCCTTTGTGCCGAACAGACTTCTAACGGACAACGTGATTGTATCGGGAGAAATTGGCAACTATCTGCGACGCAAGACTAATGGCTCTACAGGTTGGGATGCCTTAAAACTGGATATGGCAAAAGCCTATAACCGAATGGAATGGGGCTTCTTAAAGGGGATGTTGACTGCAATGGGTTTTGCTAGCCAATGGGTTGATCTCCTTATGCTATGTGTTACTTATGTGCGTTATACTATGATGGTGAACGGGGAGGCTGCTGGTACAGTTAGTCCTACTCGTGGATTCTGTCAGGGAGACCCCTTGTCCCCGTACCTCTTTATTATATGTGCAAAGGGTTTGTAGGCTCAAAGCATCAAGGTTCGCCTTTAGGACTATAGCTCAGCTTCAGGGCAGGCAATTAACTGTGTTAAGTCCAGTATAATTTTTAACAAAAACACTCCTGATCATGTGAAGGAGTCTATAGCTGCCTGTGTAGGGGTGCAAAACACGGATGAGTTGGGCAAATATCTCGGACTGCCTTCAGTTTTGGGAAGGAATAAAACTGCCATATTCAAATATATTGAGCAAAAAGTGCATGAAAGGATAAGTAACTGGAAACATAAGTTTTTTTTAAGGGCTGGTAGAGAAGTCCTAATAAAGAGTATTGTGCAATCTCTACCTATTTTTACGATGTCTATCTTTTTGCTGCCCAACCAACTTTGTGATACAATTGAGGAAATTTTGAATGCTTATTGGTGGAGCAGAGGAGGAGAACGTCGCAAGGGAATTCACTGGTTCAATTGGTCACGGCTAAGCATCCCAAAACAAAATGGAGGCTTGGGGTTCAAGAGACTCCATGGTTTTAATATTGCACTCCTAGCCAAACAGGGATGTCGCTTATTAATCTATCCACAATCTCTGGTTGGTAGATTTTTAAAAGCAAAGTACTACCCTCACACTGATTTCTTGGATGCACAGCTTGGTACCAATCCAAGTTATTTATGGAGAAGCATTTTATCAGGCCAACAAGTGTTAAAATTGGGAATTGCTCAAACAATTGGTGATGGCAAGGACTCCAAGATCTGAGGATGGCCATGGCTTGTTGATAAAAATGATCTAAATTTGCACGCTCCATCCATTGAGGGATTACGGGATGCAACTGTGAGTGGTTTAATGGATGATCATGGGAACTGGGATATCGGTGTCTTGAATGACTTATTTGTAGATACAGATGTGTGAAGGATTATAGCCACACCCATATCAAAAGATTTAAGGGATCAATGGCGCTGGAAAGGAGATTTACGAGGCATGTATTCCGTGAAACATGGCTACCATCTTCTCACACCTGCAACAACGATAATGGATCCTAACTTTAAATTCACGTCTTGGGATAAATTGTGGAAGCTACGGGTGCCTCCAAAAGTCAGAAATCTATTGTGGAGATGTGTTTGGGATACCGTCCCCGTCCTAGAAATCCTTAAAACAAAAAGGGTGTGGATAGGAGGAAGCTGCCCACTTTGTGTGTGTCCAACAGAGACGACTGAACATCTGTTTTGTCATTGTGAAGTTGCTCGACAAATTTGGGGTGAGACTGATGTGTTACAAGGAAGGAGTCTACCTGAATTCATGGATCATGTCTTTAGCTTGAGTGGCAGGGATCGCGCAATGTTTATGGCTGTTGTTGTTTGGGTAATATGGAATGTGAGAAATGATGTAGTTTGGCGCAATGGTGCATGAAATATAGAAGGGATACGTAAGCAAGTCCAAGGTTTACAAGCTGAGTGGCATGCAGTTTATAATAACCATAATACTGAGACAAACAATAACATTGTTGTTCTTTTGTCTCCTCCCCCTCAATGATCTCTTAAATGTAATATTGATGAAGCGGTCTTTGATAATGGTGCAGGTTATGGGCGGTGGTTTGGGATCACCAGGGCAGGTTTGTAGCAACCAAGAGTGGTTGGTTGGGCGGTGATCGTGATCCACTGTTAGTAGAAACTTTGGCAGTGAAGGAAGCTTTAGCTTGGTTGAAGAATATTTGTTATAATAATGTTATAGTAGAGTCAGATTGCTTGCTTTTTTTATCTTGCTTTTAATTCCCGTACTTTAGACTACTCGTATGTTGGTTCCATTGTTAAACAATGTCTTTCTATTGCTAGGGACATTGGGAACATCTCTGTTCATCATGTGAAGAGGTTAGGGAATCACGTGGCTTATGTGCTTGCACGGGCAACTGGTTCCTTGTCTGTCCTGGGTTCTTGGGTCTCATACCCTCCAGATTGTATTGCTGAGTTGATGAGTTCTTAATATATTAATCGTTTGATTTTAAAAAAAATAAAAAATCGGGGGGGGGGGGGGGGGGGGGGGGGGGGGTGTTTGCTGGGATGGGGTTAGCCTAATACTTAATGTAAAAGTATTATATTTTTCATCAAAAGTGTATTTTCCTTTATAAGTGCAACATTACTTATAATGGAAAATATAATACTTTTGATGAAAAAAGTAATACTTTTACATCAAAATATAAAAGTATTACATTTGTCCTCAAAAGTATTACGTTTTCCCTTATAAGTAACAAACATTTTACCAAGTGACTTGTAATCCACTGGTATTGGGTTGCTCTCCTAAGTGGGAGGTGTAAGGTTTAAACCTCAATTGAGGCAAATAGTGTGTATATATAGGGTATCCCCCTTCCTTATAAAAAAAAAAAAAAGTAACAAACATTTTATTCTTAATTTAGTATTACATTTACATATTGATTCGGCCCGTCTTACCGATAAGGTATATATATAGGCTATGGATCATGTGCGAACATTTTCATAGGAGAAAAATAAGAACCAATCTCAGCTTTACATTTGTAAAAATTCGACGGATCTGATCAGAAAAAAAAAAAAAAAAAAAAAAAAAAACGCGATGACAGTTTCGTAATTATCATCAATTCCACTGTGCAAACTTTAAAACATAAATATGCAATCTTTAACAACTAAATATGTAAATCTGATAAATTCTATAAAATCAACGAAAATGTTAAATTTTAAATGTAAATCGTAAATGTTAGACCTTAGTTGGAATATGGATTACATCGGAGAAGCAGAGATGGAGCAGATTGAAGAAGAAAAATATTGATTGTTATTCTGATAAAGTGTAAAAACATTACAGAGAAGAATGAAGAAGGAAGGTTATATATGGTTATATATGAAGCGGTTAGAGCGGAAGGATTAGGAGGAGGATTAGGACAAAAATAACCCTACGCTATTTTATCCTCCAACACCCCCCCGTAAGTTGGAGCGTGTAGATTCTACATGCCCAACTTAAACACAAAAGGTAATGAGGACTGCAAACATAGGCTACTCATTGAGTCCACCAAGGATGGTGGACCTCCTTATGCCATCAACATGAAGCATCATTCTTCATCATGAACTCAGCTCCATGTCTTAGTAAGATTTTGAGGCACTCTTCTTGTTTGTACCTAGCACAGATCATAACACCTGTCTCACTGGCTTCTGTTTTTGAATCTTGACAACTCCAGTATTGCCACAAAGAATGGCATGATGTAACAGAGTCCTTCCATCAACAACTCCAGCAAACAAGTACTTGCCAGAAGGAAATCCACCCTTAATCAAATCAAGGGTCTGAGATCCACGGACTAAGTCAAGGTCCATTACAAGGTTTGGTTCATCAAACTGGATCCAAGAAGCACCAGCTCCTTTCAATTCAGTAATAACTTCCTTGTAGATTGGAAGGATCTTGTCAAGAAGGGACAACAATGCGAATGATTTTTCAACACCCTTGGTAGGTTTAGATAACAGCAAGTATGACACTGGTCCAATAAGAACATTATCTACACCAAGTGCCATAGCCTCCTTGTATTCATTCACTGCCTTGTCGGAAACATAACTGAATTTCACATCAGGACCCAACTCGAGGACAATGAAGTGGTAGTTTGTATCAAACCACTTAGTCATTTCCATTGCAGGAACAATGGCATTTCCTCTGGCCATGGAGAAGTAGGTGTCAAATCCAATTTCCCCATAGGCCAACTTCAGAGATTCCTCATTCATGTTAACGCTTCCTCCCATTGGAAGATATTCCATGTTAAACCCACCCGCGATTCTCCGCTCTGCTTCCCGGACACACTTGAGCACCATCGGCTTTCCATTATCGTCACGGTAAGCTCCAACTCCGACACTGACTTTGTCGGGGCTAGGATCTGCGAGGAAAGCTTCAGTGACGCGGAGGATCGGATCTTTCGGAGCCGGCTCGACACTTCGCCACCATGACGACATGGATCGCGCTCCGACAACCGTGCTGGACTTGAGGATCCTACCGGAAATTGCAGCTCGGAAAAGCGCCATGACTAGACACAGAGGGATATGCGTGTATAGAGATGATCGGAGCGAGAAAGAAACGGCAGATTTTAAAGCAGAATTGAATGAAACGACATTGTTGTCATTCATCTCAGACGCATCCTTGCTTCGTTTCACTTTCCATTCGTTGAACTCCGAAACCTTGCCGGAAAAATTTCTCTGACTCGAAGTTTCACTTTTATCAATTTCTCTCATGATTTCACTGTTCGGCTTCCTAGCTTTGCCGGACAACGAAAAACTCGGACGAGCTCCTTCCTTCCGCTGCGGAACAGCTGTGGAGATCGCCTGAACTAGTGATTGAATGACCAGAAACGACGGACAAGCTCCCTGGATCGCCTTCCGCTGCGGATCGGCTACGGAAGTCCGCTGCTCCGAACTCAGATTCCTCTGCGGAATCCTTGGTGATGTTGATCGGACTGGCGCGTCGGCATTGTTGTTACACTGCGTAACAATAATTCTCTCCATCGCCTGGGATTGAAGGAGAGACATCAGCTTATTCAACTGCTCAGAGATGCCTAGATCATCTGAGTTGAGGCTCCTGTGAGCACGATTGATTGAGTTCCTCTGCGGAACTGAACGATTGATCGAGTTCCTCTGCGGAACTAACTCTGGAACAATACGAGAAAGGAATCGCACGAATAGAGATTGTGCGGCTGGAGATTGTGCGATCGGAGTGGTAGCCAGCGTCTCCTGCTTCACGCCGGTGACGGTAGAGACAGCGGCGGCGGCGTAGGAACACGGCTCTGATACCATGTTGGAATATGGACTACATCGGAGAAGCAGAGATGGAGCAGATTGAAGAAGAAGAAGATTGATTGTTATTTTGATAAAGTGTAAAAACATTACAGAGAAGAAGGAAGAAGGAAGGTTATATATGGTTATATATGAAGCGGTTAGAGCGGAAGGATTAGGACAAAAATAACCCTACGCTATTTTATCCTCCAACATAAGCAATAAAAAGTGAACCACTAGAACAAATAAAATCAAAAATTCAGTCATAAGATTCTAAAGTCGAAACTCTAATTGCAATGTAATTTTCATTTTTACAAGTGCAAACTTTTAATACTAAATATGTAAAATATTAACATTAAATGTGTAAATCTGAAAAAGTCTACAAATTGCAAATTTTAGTTTTCACGGTTATAACCAGCAGTAATAGAAAAGAAAATTGAAGTGCACATGGAACAAAATTCTTTTATCTTTATTGAAAGCCATAGAGGGCGGTAGTATAGGAAGGGTTAAAGAGGGTGCGAATGGTGGACCACAGAAGAGCTGCAAATGGTTGATCTCTTCTCCTTCACCGACAACTATGCCTTTCTTTGTTCTTTTGTGAAAAGAAAAATCACACTAATTATTCAAAAATATGTACGAGATCAATTAACTTTGTAATTTTAATTAGCAAATGATGATAGTTGATAGTAAAATAAATTAATAAACAGCTCTTACTCGAGATTAAAATTGAACCTAAAGTGAGCAACGACTTGGGCATGCATGGTGCCCCACAACTAAACCTTTCAGTTTCAATGCCGAGTGGTGCATTCACTCCGCTTCATCCCAGCCCGCAGCTTTCATATATCCTGTACTCTCTCTCTCTCTCTCTCTCTCTCTCTCTCTCATTATATTTTTCCATTTCCGCTCTGCTGTTTCTATTTTGTACTTCATCTCCAATTCAATTCTCTGACACCTTCTGAGAAAAGAACAATGGTTCAGTCCAAGAAGTTCAGAGGTGTCAGGCAGCGCCACTGGGGCTCCTGGGTCTCCGAGATTCGCCACCCTTTATTGTATGCTATACATATTTCAATAATAATCCACTTTCTATTATTATATCAATGTCGGGATGCCGGTTAGTTTACAGGTCAAATGTAGACTCATGCATGCATATATACTTAATTGATTTCTTGTGTTTTAATTTGCGTGTATATATATATAGGAAGAGGAGGGTTTGGTTGGGGACGTTTGAGACGGCGGAGGAGGCGGCCAGAGCCTACGACGAGGCGGCTATCTTGATGAACGGTCGGAATGCGAAGACCAACTTTCCGGTGGCGGCTAACAAAGACAGTAAAGATAAGTCTTCCTCTTCTGCTTCTTCTTCTTCGAGCTCTCTTTCTGCTATCTTGAGCGCGAAGCTCCGGAAATGCTGCAAATCACTGTCGCCGTCGCTCACTTGCTTAAGGCTGGACACCGAGAATTCCAACATCGGAGTCTGGCAGAAACGCGCCGGCGCTGCATCCTCCGACTCCAACTGGGTCATGACCGTCGAGCTCGGAAACAAACAGCCGCCGCCGCCGAAGCAAGAAAACTACTTGTCCTCACAGACTTCAGAAGACACTAGAGACGTTGTCGTTGTCGCCGGCAATCAGACAGTGAACGAAGAGGAGAAGATCGCACTGCAAATGATCGAGGAACTCCTAAACGAGAATTAATCACAGTATGTTATAAGATCTCATATATATATATATATATATATATATAAACAAAATAAAACGAAAAAACAACTATATATTTGTTTTACAAGCTAAGTTATCATATATATTTTTTCTTTCTTTAATCAATCATTTGAAGGAGGAGTGGTATCATATCCCTATCCCTACCCGGTTGCCGGGATACTTTAATTTGTCCTTTATCCTTAGAGGTAGGAAAACCAACATGTGCAATATAGTATGTCCAAGACTGTGTTTGAATTGGTTTGTACAAGCTAAGGTTACGTTACGTTGTGAAATTAAATATAATTGTGAGTTAAGTTGTATTATCTCCACACCTTTTATATATATATATATATATATATATATATATATATATATATATTTGGACTTCCAAAAGAGTTTGGTGAAATAATTAAGGTTCTGCTGTTTAAAAGACATAAATTTCACGCGCCGACAGAACTGAAAATGGTGGGGAGAATTGAAGAAGAAGAATAAATGGAGTGGGTTCAGGTTATATATATATATATATATATATATATATATATATGGACGACTTTTACTTCTCGCTTGGAATTTGGAAATATCAGTCTGTATATCTCTCTGACACTTTCCATCACTGACCAGAAAGCAACCCTTTTGGTCCAACGTTTGTTATTATTGATGTAAACTGTTTGGCTTGTTTTGTGGTTTTGATTTGTGTCTCGAAAGCTGAACTGAACGTGTGGTTTATAATTCTCCTATTGAGGAATTATAAATTTAATTTTAATCAACATTCTCTTCATCAAATCATTATGTCATAGGTTACTGATAGATTTACTTTTAGTGTATAAGTTTATTTTCTTAAAATTCATTTTTAATATACTACTTAGAAAAATAAACATATAATACATTACTTATTCGTGATTAATTGTAATATAGACTATAGTCCACAGTATAATTTATTGAATTTATCTTTTTTGTACAGTTTACAAATTATATTACATATAAGTAGAATTTTACCAAATACACACTATTGGACAGTAACTATGTGTTTTTCTCGTCACAAAAAAAAAATGAAAAAAAAAAAGAAAAAAAAAACAATAACACTACAATGCATAGTGTGGTAAAATTTAATATTCTTTCTTTATTTTAATTTGTGATCAGAACTTATATTTTCATTGCGTTTAATTAATTAAGAAAAAAATCACTATGTAATTTTAAGAAAATTCTGAAACATCAATCGGTTCCTCTTACACTGAATACAAATGCAAAAAAGCATAACTTGATTAATTAGAGCATATTATCAATAGTTTATTTGAGGTTTTTGGAATAGTAAATGAGGATGTAGAGGGAGAGAAAATGGAGAGAGAATGGTTTGGGTTCTTCTGCAACAAATGAATATTGGAACAATAGTGTTTTACTTTTCGAAATTATCACTTGTTTTGCGCACAACAGATAGAATGCACGCGCCCGCTGGCACGTCAGACGCGCCTGGCATTATCTTTTTATATTGTTATTATTTTTTTAAATTTAGTTTTACTTTTTTTTTTCTTTTTTCTTTCCCCTCTCATATTCTCTTTCTTAACCACACATACAGAAGCTTTTCAAAAACCAAAAAAAAAAAAACTTAACCATTGTAGATGCTCTTAGTACAACATACATGCAAATTCAGTTAACATGATGCATAGTACTTACTATACAAGTGTGTTTTTAAAATAATAATAATAATAATAATAATAATAATAATAATAATTAATTAATTAACATAATGTACATTTCCATAAGTTGTGTTCATTTCAATTATAAATAATTTAATGGGCATATTAACCATACATAATACCCTCCTCTCTCACACAAACACTCTCTATATATGATCAAATGAGAACTGACACTTAAGTAAAAATTGTGGACCAATTTTAACCATTTATCTATGATCGATGATCAATGGATGTAAAGTAAAGAAAAAAATACATAGATATTTTGATAAATATTTCAAACTTAAAGTATATCATGCAACAACTACAAGTGTAATTGTTGACACGTAATAGTGCAATATAATGTACATTACATATCAACAATTGTATTTGTAGTGTGTGTGTGCATATCAGTGTTGCAAAAATCTCGTCTAGGCGTCGCCTGTCCGCATAGCATATTACAATAATCGGTGGTTTAGGTGGTCGATCGGCTAGGCGCCGACTAAGCCTCATACCAGGCACCGACTAGGCCGCCTAGTTGGCTGATTATGTATTCTTCTCTCTTTTTATTTTTTAAATAGGTTATTTCTCTAAAAATGACATCGTTTTGAGCGAAATAAGCTAAATTATTTAAACTCTAGATGTTTTCAAGGTTAATATTTAATATTTTAGTATTAACTATTAAAGTATTAAATAGTTTATAATTAGCAAGTCTTAAAAAATTAAAAATTTTAAACAATTTTTAAAAAAAAAAAATATGCGGGCGCCTAGCGATTTTTCAACCATGGTGTGTGTGTGTGTGTATATATATATATATATATATATATATATATATATATATATATATATATATATATATATATTCCGTCTGTTTGAAAGGAGATGTATTTATATGATATTGAAATGACGTGGAACCATCATAATCTAAAATGGTCATTGTGTAAACAGTTATAAGAAATTGTCAATTCCCAGACTTCGAATAAAATGATGTTGTTTAATTGATGACATTTAACTAAAAACATTAGACTTCTGATCTGGGAAATATATAATGTCATTTTAGGCGAATGTCTGTATCACGCTGCTATATTATTAGTAACAATCAGATTGCGTTTGATGTAATGTGATCTGATTATCCTATTTCATACCCAAACCGTTATTAATCATTAATTGGCACGACATTATCGTAACATATTTAATTTGTCTGAAAAAAACAAAATATAAAAGATAGAGATGCTTTGGTTAAGAAATTATCTGCATTAATTTTGAAAAACAAAATGTTGAAAATATGCGTATAAATCCCTTTTTTACTTTTCTTAATATCATCCTGCTAGTCCAATATTAAAATTGAATTATGACATTTTTTTTTACAAATTTTCTGAGCTGATTTTAATTTTAATTTTATTATTATTATTTTTTTTTTTTACCAAAGTGATGGGTGCACCAAGGCATAAAAAACTAATGCCACTCTAAGACATGTCTTGGCCACGTGATACTAACTCTTTTCTATTTGAGCATTCTCAAAATCTCGTTTGAACTGACTTTTTGTAAGTATTTCTTGATGTTTAATTTCCTTCATTTTTTTCCTAATTTTTTTACTCCGTGATAAAGACCGTTACGTTGGTAAAGATCCATTAGTTGTTGCTCGAAGTATTTCAACATGAAAAGTGAATGAATAAAAAAAAAAAGATAATAGGGGTTTTTAATGGAATGTGAAGTAGAACTAAGGAGACAAATATATAAAGAATCATTCAAAATTTTAAAATTTTGAAATTTGATTTGGCCGTCAAAATTTTTTTGCCACTAAATAAGTGTTCAAAATTTTCAATCACTTTAATCGTTAAAATTCAAATTTTTTGTAGGTTTTTAAAATTTTCGCCTTTCAATAGTGGCCAAACTTTTTGGCCACCTCAATTAAACAAAAGTTGAAAGAAGAAAAAATGCTCCTCTTTTCTTTTTTAGGTAATCGAAATTTTATAGTTTTTTTAGGAATAATATACATCATAAATATCTTATTTTTTTTTGAATTGGGGATGAAGAATCTTGTGATTTGGTGAACGCACATTGCATCTATAGTTAGGTAAGAGCAAGCTAAGTATATAAATGAGAGGATTGTACTTTGTTAGAAAGTACACTCCGATCCAACGTGAAAACTATGAATATACTACATGAAAATTAATTAGCTTAGCTTTACATATCCATATGAGTTGGATGATAAATATAAAAAAATAAATTTATTATTATTAGGACTATATTATTAGTATTAGACTGGGACTACCTTATTCGTGTTAGACTAGGATTCTATCTAGTATCTATATATTCGCTCTCTGTACTCTCAGATTCATCAATCAACACAACACAATTATATTCTCATCTGGTATCAGTTATCCTGGTTTTCTCTTATGGAAACCCTCGGTAATGACGGCTCTGTTCTTGGATCTTCTGAACGGACTGTTACCGACGTTCCTCCGGTGTCCGTCAGTAATAGTCTTTCCTCGGCACATCACTTCGTCTCCCTGAAATTAACTTCCTGGAATTATTTATTCTGGAGAACTCAGATGCTACCGTTCCTCGAAGGTCAAGGGCTTCTTGGTTTTATTGATGGCACCGTGCCGTTTCCGGCGATTGTCTCGGCGACCACCTCGACTACCGAAAGCTCCGGCGCGACGGCTACAGACCTCTCGGCACGGCAGGCTTCTTGGCGGCGACAAGACAAGGCCATCCTTTCGATGCTTATCTCGTCCTTGTCCGAGGAGACTCTGCGTCTCGCTGTCGGTCGAAGCACATCACGACAGCTATGGCAGACCATTGAGCAAACCCTAGGCTCATCGACGCGGTCTCAGGCCCTACGACTGCTCGGCGAGCTACAAGCGCTACGGCAAGGTGATTCTTCCATCTCCGACTATCTTGGCCGTGCGCAGATGTTGGTTGATGAGTTGGCTCTCGCGCGGTCGTCAGGTTGAGTTAGACGACCAAAATTTATATGTCTTCCGTGGTCTACGCCCTGAGTTTCGGCCATTGGTTGTGACCCTGGCGCGTGGAGCTCCTGTTTCGCTAACGGAGGTAGCGGACTTTCTAGTATCGCAAGAGTGGATCTGCTCCGATGAGGGCGTCCCTATTGGTGCACCGGCCGCTACGGCTGTCAACCGTGGAGGTCATGGTGGTCGGGGCAGTGGTTCTTAGCAGCGTGGAGGAGGAGGCCGTGGCCGGGGGCGGTTTGGTTCGGGCCCTCGATGTCAGATTTGTAGCAAGCAAGGTCACTCTGCTATTTCCTATTGGCAGCGTTTTACGCTTGATTCCCCGGCTCCTCAGGCGCATGTGGCTGTTTCTGGTGATGATGGTTCTGTAGATGGCCCTCAACAGTGGTTTTCGGACACTGGTGCTACGAATCATGCCACCCCTGATTCTTCCTTGCTGACATTTGCAACAGGTTATGATGGTCCGGAGACACTCCGAGTCGGCAGTGGTACAGGTTTATCCATTGTTAATGTTGGTTCCGCTTTGTTAGCTACTGATTCTAGGTCCATTAGGATGAGTGATGTCTTGCATGTCCCTGGTTTATCTTCTTCGTTATTATCTGTTCAGCATTTTTCTAAAGATAATAATTGATACTGTTAATTACTACGTAAGCAATAATTAAACACACTCGAGACCAATTAAAGCAAGTAAATATCTTTATTGATCACGGTGAAGACCCTAAGTACAATCTACTTGGTTGCTCTGAGTGCCGACTGACTGCGGTCGGGATTCTCTAACAACAACCTATCGATCGTCCAAAAGTCCCTCACACTGTAGCTACTGTGGGTATTTATAGCCGCTACGCCGGAGACATAAATCCGGTCGTTCGGCATGCTCTCCACGTAGCCACCACGTGTCATCCTCCCGGTGCCCTGTCTGTCGTCGCAAGGAACCGCCACGTGTCCTTTGTCAGCTCTCTCGCCAAAGGGCTACCGCTTGGTGGTTGACACTGCCGATCGGGCAACTCCCAGTCGGTCCCCGACCGGGTTCTTCACAAGAAGCCCGACCTGTTACCTGCAAAGACAAGAAGAAAAAGACAAAGGCATACCAGCCGGGGTAAAATTATGTCAGTCGGGATATTCCCTACCAAGAGCCCCCCCAGCCCGGGCCTTTTTGACCGTCTGGGAAAAAACGGGACGGGATGAAGAAGCCCAACCATCAGCCATCAAACCGACCAGCCAGCTGTCATTCCTTCCCTCGCCACGTGTCGGCCACTTCCGGCCTCTGCGACTGCAACAGTCGCCTCGGAATCAGCGCGGGTCGTGTCACGCAAGTGCACTCGTTTCCCGCCTAAATGTCCTCCTATAAATAGGCCCTTGAGGCCCTCATTTGAACTTTCTCCAATCTATTGCTTCGATCGGTATCCTCAGAGAATCCCGAGCAGAGCATTTCAGCAAGGCAACCAAGCAACAGATTTCAAGACTCTTCACAAAGCACCTCCAATCGGTAAGCTCTCTACTTCTTATCTTTTGTCTTATTTTTAGCTTTGCATTTACATTCATACGTAGAACTGGTAGGTCGCAACTAACTGTCCCGGACGTCTCGAGTCCTTTACTAACCCGACCGACCTTTAGGTAGATCGAAATGACGGACTCTAACAGCCAAAACGCCTCGATCGCGGACTACGACGAGGAAGTCGAACACCTCACTGATGAAGAAGTGGACATCATGTCCTACTCTCCCGAAGTCGTCCACCGACCAGTACAAGCCCCCGAGCGGGCCCCCGAACAAAGAGAAACATCAAGCTCAACGGGGACATCGGGGTCGAGTTCCAGCGGGTCGGGGAGCGACGAAACGTCCACGAGCGGATGAAACTCCCCGGCTGAAGATGCCAGGGGAACGCCTACGAGGGTAATAGGGGATTACCCTCAGGCCGAGCCCCAAGAGGGCAACTGGGCAAACGACGGGGAGGCAATCGAGGAAAATCCGGCCGGACCGGCAGCGCTAGACGGGGACGGGTTCGAGTTCCTCAATAGCAAGAGCGTCCCAACCCAGATGAGCTTGCTGACAAAGGGAGAGGCAAGCAAGATTGCCGCAACATTAGCCGGCCGGGTCGAGTTCGACACCAGTAGGCAGCTCGGAAACATCATTGAGCGGCACCGGGGGAAGTGGCTCGGGATGCATTATGACTCCCTGATGGCCCCGATCACTTTCCCCTTCTCGAGCCTTCTTACCGCATTCCTGGGCTACTACCAGGTCGTACCCGGTCAGATCTGCCCGAACGCGCATCGGATGATCGCATGCTTTCCCCAAATTTGCAACCGGCACAACTTGGCCTGCACCATGGAGCTATTTAATTTTGTCTACCAGGTGAAGGTGCTGGCAGCCGCATATGGGGGCGGATTCTTGATGACCCAATCCCGAGCAGATATGTGCTCGATCGAGGGATTTCCCGGGAACAACCGGGGGTGGAAGAACCGGATCTTCTCGATAAAGTACGATCCGTGGATCCTCCCGGTCGAAAGGGTCTGGAGTCAACACTTTCGAAGGCAAGTCATCCCGATCGAGACCCGGGCCCTTAAGGACGCCGTTACTAAGATCTCGGGCGAAATTTACGAGTACCGAATCTTCAAGTCGGCCGAGTGCTACGAAGCGGCCCAGCTGCCCGATCCGGTATATGATCTGACCGAGAAATATAAACCCGAGTCGGCGGGTGTAACAATTGCAAGGATGCCCACTCGGGGCAAGAGGAAGGGTAAAGGTTCGAGGCTAACCATTTTCCGTGACCCTTAACATCCCGATTGCTCTTTATTTTCCCGACCTAACTGCTTATTTTTCCATTTTGCAGAGATGGCCGAATTCGGAGATGACGATGCTCCTCTTCCCCCGCCCACTAAAATCTCACTTGGCAAGAAGAAGCCAAAAACCAGACCAACCGGGTAGAAGGAAATCCCGGTGGCCTGACCCCTCGGGACCTCGACCATCACGACGGCCGAAGGCTTTGTGGTCGAGCCGAGCGACGTATTGGTCACCCAGGTAGAGGTTGCCCGGGGAAAGGAGAAAGTGCCCGAGCACGGCGTGACCGAGGTGAGCGGTATCAAGCGCCGCAGGGAGCAGCGTAGCCCGAGCCCCTCAATCGGGGGAAGCAAGGACGAGTCGTCCATACTGGCCCGTATCGGCAACGCCGGGCCAGTCAGAGAAGATCTGGGGAAGATGACCCCAACTCAAGTGGCCGAAAGGATCGGCCACGACCTGGCCGAGGTAAGCACCTTGTTCCCTTAAATTTTTATGCAAGTGCCTCTGATCGGGCTGACTGTGGACACCTTTTACATTGCAGATCTCCCGAGCGGCTCAACTTCTGCAAGGTCGGGCCATGCTGTCCGAGGAGGCCGACCGCCACAAGAAGACGGCTGCTCGACGCCTTCAGGAGGTCAAGGACATCCAGGCCGAGCTGGAGAAGGTCCAGAAGGACCTGAAGAAGAGTGAGGAGGATCGGGTCCTGGCGGAGAAGGTCGCCCAACGGGCGATCGTGGAAAATATGGAGCTGAAAGCCCGATTGGAGAATCCGGACGCGCTGGCCCAGTCAGCATTCAAGGACGACAAGATGGGCTCGGCCTTCCTCACGGCCGCTCGACGGACTAAGATCGGGGAGGACCTGATCCTATCATTTGGTCGGTGGGCCTTCAAAGCCGGCCAAAGGAAAATGCTCGAGAGGGCTCAAAAGCGACTGGGGCAAGCTCTTGAGGGAGACGACCTCCAGCTCGTTCGGTCTGCACTCCCTCCCGACCTGGCTGACCTCGGTCCTTCCCCCTTCGCCCCAAAGGACAAGGCGGCCGACCCGACTGCGTCGACGGCAGCCACCCCGAGCGAGGCGGGCGCTTCTAAGAAGGGGGAGGCGAAGGAAGTAAAGAAATAGAATTAATGCTTCCTTGTTTTCTAATGATCTTAATCGAGAGCCCGGTCCCGAACTTGTACCGGGCGCCATCCTTTTAATCAATGAAGTTGACTTTTTGTCCAACTTGTGTCATTCGTTCTCTTTTTTTCGCACTTTTATTTTTAGTTAGTCATGCGTGTGCCGACCCTAAATGCTCGACCTTGTGGCCTTTTGGCCCGGTCATGCACTAGTCGACCGGTTCGACACCCGACCTTGTGGCCTTAAGGCCCGGTCGTGCGTCCATAGCTTCGACATCAAACTGTCCTGCCCGATCAGGTTTACCCGATCTATTGGCCTTGTCGAAATTTTGAAAATGGGTAAGCCTCCACGGTCGGGTTTTTCCCGAGCAACGGGCCTATGGGTAAGCCTCCACGGTCGGGTTTTTCCCGAGCGACAGGCCTATAGGTAAGCCTCCACGGTCGGGTTTTTCCCGAGCGACTGGCCTATAGATACTTCCTTCATCCCAGCCCCCACACTATTGTACCTTCGAGGCACGAGTGGGTGCGATAGTGGAAAGAAGTTGGACGGATCGGGGAATTGTGTTGAGAGCTCCTGGCTTTCCCGATCAGTGGCGTGACCCACATGTCCGCCGAAGAGGAGCGCATTTGACCGGTCGATAGACTCGCCCGGTCGATGTAACTTGATGATGGATTGATCTGCGCGCAATGAAGGTAAAGGGAATAACCAACCGGGCCGCCGTATGCAAACGGTCGAGCAATCACCGATCGTATATACATTAAACCTTCCCGCTCGCAGGAGATTAAATAAATATTTACATCAATAAATTTAATCACAAATGACGACCGGGACTAACTCGCAGGTCGAGCCCCCAATTCGTCCAAAATTACAAAAAATAGGCTAGTGCCTAAACATAACGAGGTGCTCGGAATTCCAAGTCCCCTCGATTGCCCGACCGGTTGTTGTCTCCAGTCGATATGTCCCCGGCCGTATGATAGCGCTGATGATGTACGGCCCTTCCCAATTTTGAGCTAGCTTCCCTCCTTCCAAAGGTTGACTGGCCTCCCTTCGTCGTAGAACGTAGTCTCCCACCTGAAAATAACGAGGGTTGAC